AGGCTTGATATGGTACTGCAACGGAACTTTAGGTTTTGGTGACTTTGGAGAACCTTACAAGAGGTTTTTATATAGCTGAAGTGATGTTTGACACTATTAGATAACGATTATGTAAATGATGATCGAATTTGCACAAATGAAGAGGAAATTGTTTTTATCTGCTATGTTCCCAGATTGTACATTTCAAAATTGTGACATATATAATAATAGAATATTAATCATGTAAATAAAAAAAACGATCTTAGTTGTAAAGTTTAATCTTTGTTCCTACATAGGAAAAGAACTAATCTTAAATTTTCGATCGATCTCGTCAACCTTCGTCAACTTAACAACTCTACAACTATGGATTCTGCCATTATGGCATGGAAACACTATGATAGTGTTTCCATGCGAAGACTTGAGTACTCCATTTGAGTCTTTGTGCCACCATTTGAGTCTTTGTAGGCACCGGATGTGGAAGCGCTCAAGAGACCGTGTCGTCTGTAGAGTCCAGGTCTCGCTGGCGTAAAGCAGGATGGACAAGCATACTGCCTTGTAAACCGCGACCTTTGTCTGGGTAGCTAAGTCCTTATTCAGAAAAACTCTGCTCGAGAGGCGTCCGAAAGAAGCAGATGCGAGTCCGATTCGCCTTTGGACGTCGTCGGTGGCGTCCGAAGGCGAGGTCAGGTACTCTATGTGAGCAACTATCCTCCCTCCTAACCTCTGCTTGGTTTTCATTCATATAGCGAAATGTCCGCTTCTGCAAAGGTTTTGACCAGTTCTGCAAGCGATCAGCTGGTCGCAAAATTACATTTTCACGTATAACTCGAGAATGAAGCAAATTTTAAGGGAAGACAATAATTGGGAAGAGAATAGAGACGTCGGGTGGTGTAGTGGTTAGAGCAATCGACTATGAACCGGGAGGCCCGGGTTCGATTCCGAGTTGTACCCGGTACATGTCTGAACATGCGCCCCGACGTTGTGTCCTTGGGAAAGGCACTTTACACGACTTTCCTCACTCCACTCAGGTATGAATGGGTACCTAACTTCGGTTGGGGAAAGTCGTATTGAGGTCACCTTGTGGCGCCGAATGACAGCCGCACAGACCTTGCGACAGTTCTACAAAAAATAATTGTGGAACAAATATGTGTATCTTGTGTATTATTTGATTGTTGTAATTATTGTGGTTTGTATTGATTATTATGTGATACCCTGCATCAATTCAGCCGTATAAAGGCTGCGACTGTACGGGTACTGTTTGGACAATAAAAACATTTATTTATTATTAATAGAGATCCCAAGGAATATACTCTGACAACAGGATGGTCGAAAAATGTCAAATGTTTCATTTTTGAAATTGAACAAGCGTATATTCATCCCCTATAACACCCCCGTTTTCGGGCCCCCGTTCCGAAAGGTCCGTATCTCGCTAATAAAGCGACGGTCACAACCCGCCGTGCGTGCTTTTTGGCTGTACGTCTTTTAGGAGGCTACGTCTGCTACGTTTTTTTTCTGAAAACGTAGGGTGACCGGCCGAGGGAGTACGTCACTCGCACGGTTGCGCAAGGTGTACGTACGCAGTCTGCACGACTTGCCACGTTGCCGCGTACAGGCCGTACCTACACGTGCGGCGTACGCACGGTTTCCTTACTCGCACGTTGTACTAGTATTAGTAAAGTGCGTGCACCTCCCCTTTAACTTCATTATCACTAGCCGCCCTGGTGTCTTCCGCGGCCCGTTTCTTTGGGTCTTGTCTGGTAGTCTTCTTCTGAGCCTTCCTGGGCATCTTGGAGACGAGTTGGCAGTCGCCCGTCAAGTCGTCTTTATATACTGTAGAAATCAGGTGCGTTACACGTGCGTTGCACGTGCGGAGCACCTAGTATGGTGCACGTTTGTTCTGCGTGGTCATTGAGCAGGTCAACTGGGAAGTGAGGAGTAAGCACGGATGACGCAAGCACCGTGCGTGGCACGCACGTGCTTCGTGCGCTGTCCGTACAGCAATTGCACGTGAGAATAGTGAAGTTAGACTCACGGAGTCCGTACGTTGCACGCTCATAGTAAATTCGCAGACCGCACGTAGTTACATGCACTTAAAATTCTACGGCGTGTCTGCGTACTCAAAATCCGTAGGATTCCGTACGGAGGCGGTACTCACCACGCACGGATGCCCTACGTTTACCCACGTTTTTGCACGTAGACAGCACGCAGAAGCACGTACGGCGAGTTGTGACCGTCGCTTTAACTAAGCGAAGATTTCGGCATTTCGCGAGTTGGGAAACGCGATGGGCTCTTATGGGGTTTTAGGTCCCCTTCTTTCATGCGCTTAAACTTGACTCTGAGACTTGCCCTGGTTACTTACCCGTCAGGATCCAATCAAGGATGAACAAATAAGTTATTAAGTTGGTCGATCGTGACCTGAGAATAATAGGGCCAGATGGGCGCGTACGAGGCGGCTAGATATTGGCTATTTTCGCTGTTTTCGACACTTCTGTTTCACTTCATCTTCAAGTGTACCATTCATACTTACAGACTCGGCCCATGGATCGTTTACCAGTAACAAATACTAACTTAATTCACGAAACACTTTTGTTCAGAAACAGAAACTGTTGATGTAGGACCAGACACTGCCAGGGAAGCTAGACAATCGCGCTGCAAATATGACGATCCTTCACCGGAACGTCTGCTTGGAGAAACATGCAGTCAAATCTTGTTTTTTTCCCTGGCTAATGCTTAGGTTACATTTCCAAACCGGGGCCCGGCCGGGCTGTTTGTACGAACGAAAAATTGACTATTCATATCAAAAATATACAGAAACAGAGCTCATGATTGTTATTAAGAACTTTTCTGTGTTTTGTTGTCTTTTGTATCGTAGTTTTCGTTCCCAAAAGCTGCCCGGCCGGGCCCCGTGTGGGAATTGTGACCTCAGCATAACGTATTGCCGCGGGGTAAGCTGTGTCTGCGCACATGAACAGTCTCACACTTTGATGTACGTAAATAGGCTGATTTGTTGCTTGATGAAGGAAATTATGCCCGGAAATCTTACCACTACGATCTTTCATCGTCTCTTAATGTCATAAGCTAAGGCCTGTGGTTATGTGTCAGATGATCATTTCACCACGAAGGCTCTAATTCATTTATAGACGCTCGGATAGAAACAAAAAATAATGATTCTTATGTTCTGGGTTCAGGGATTTTTGTTTTGAGCCGATATCATGATATAATTCACTGATATCATGATTGATAAATTGTAGATATTTATCACTCTGGCGTCTTCCACGTGAAACTGGTTGTTGTATCCAGAACCATGCTTTATCCAGACCTGTGCTTTATCTGGAACCGTGTATTCAGAACCGAACACATTCAGGCATAGAACTAGATAGTGTGGGGTCGTGTGGCGTAGCGGCAGAGTGCGCGACTCGGAACTTAGAGTCCCGGGTTCGAGACCTGACATGCCACCGATCTTGTGCCCTTGGGAAAGGCACTTTACACGGCTTTCCTCACTTAGCTCAGGTGTAAATGAGTATTGTCCTGTCATGTATTTGTCCCCTGTGTTGGTGGCGGCATTAATATAAGTTGAAAAAACTTGTGTCGTCACCACGTCTGGTGATTACATGTTGGAATAAAAAAAAACTAGATAGACATGGCTTTGGATACAGTACTGGTCCTTCTAGCTGGATACTTGACACCCAGTTGAAGGTCTAAGATTGAGCGCTTAACAAGTTCCAAGAACAGTTAAACCAGATTTGGCTGGGAGAAACTCAGCATTCTTTACATGCAGCACAGCCAAATTATGTTAGCTTCATACTAAAATTTTGTTGCTGTTTTTTTTTTTCTGAGATTTTCCAAAGATTTTAATCTAGACATCAAGATGAGAGTTCAAAATGTTGCTCATCTTCAATTCTTTCTATATCGCTGCGGTCACGAAACTTCCGTAGCCATAGCAACGAAGGACAGTTTGCCACACCTCTCATATCGCGATTCCTGTCCTTCTAAAAATGTGCTTCTTCGTGGCAACCTGCGTCAACAAGCGGGTCTTGGTCTTTGTGTTTGGTAAATTGCTCGTGCCGGGGTTATTAGATACCTTGATTGCACATTCTTGCTCCAGGCATCAACATGATATATATACAATGAATAACAGTTTCGTAAGTGACTACCTGCTGACTCTAATCTAACATGTCCCACTTTTCTGTAACACATGTCTGCGTGTACTGTGATGTTAAGAGGTGGATAGTTTTCGTTGTGTTCATCTGTAAACGATGAACATTCTGGATGGAATTTGGTGGCTTCTTCAACGAGCTCTCTTCTCTCATGCATGTTATGTCTCTGATGTTATTCTAGATTAAGTGTCTATGATAGTAATATAGTTCCTCGTCCTTAGTATTTTGCCCTGCTCGGTTTGGACGTCATCAAGTCGTGAAACCTTAACATTTAACAATTGTGTTTGTCATTGATCGAAGCACTGATAATCCTGCTATACCCGTCGTAGGCGGAGCTACTCGTATATGTGTCGTCGTACTCAATGAGCTCAGGAAAAAGAAATCTGATTGGACGACAGTTTACCCACGACTGACTCCTTTTTTGGTGTTCGGTTCTGGAAGGCAATCAGCCACCGATTGACGTCCATATAAAGGCCCACACCTCAGCAACAGGTTAAAATGCATTATCAGACGGAGTACATGTATGTGAGCGTGTGTTGGTTTGGACCCGGGCGCGGTGGTGCTTCACGCGTGGTGCGCTCTTAGCTCCGATTCTAGGAAAGGGTACAGGTAGTTTTTAAGACTGTAGGTGTAGTGGGTTGTTAATCTACTGTGTCCAGGGAACGGTAGTGGAAGGTAGAGCCCATCCCTTTCCTTCCACCGCCTTTTACCTCCGCCGAACCGAAGTCAGGTGCTCGGAGTGCCTTTGCCGAGGACACAGCGTCTAGCCAAGAGTGCCAGGATTCGAACCCGCAACCCCCCAATTTCGTGTCCGCTAGTCCAGACACTCTTGCCATTCAACGACACACAAGGCAGGAACAAACTATGGAAGGGAACAGCAGCGACATCACATGGGGAACCCCTGATGACAGACTCTGGGCGGTGAGGTTGAAAGCTTCCTTTATGTCGATCGAGTGCATCCTGGCCATGTTCGGTAATATCGTAGTCATGCTCTTCACGACAACCAGGAACACTTTCCCGCGGAACGCCAGCGTCTACATCTTCGCCATGGCCGTGGCGGACTTTGTGAAAGGCGTGGGGTACGCGTCCCACGTGGGGCCGTTTCTGGATCAAGACATGGCCGGGTCTGAGGCGTGGTGCAAAGGGTGGGGGTACGTGCAGTCCGCACTTCGTTTCAGCTCGATCCACCTGGTCACCTGCGTCTCCGTGGACAGGTTTGTTTGTTTGTTTATTATTATTTGCACATGTATAAAAAACAATACAATGGTAATATTACAAACTTAAATAACGAAAGAAATATTCAACAATCAGATTTGCCGAAATAGGTAATTAAGGTAAATAGGTAAATATATAAACAAGTGCTTTCTGAAAAAAGCTGCCATTTTCGCCTCTATAAAAAGGATTATTTACTGGCGGTTATAATGAGATGTGATCTATAAGTGATGTGTTGTGAGATGTAAATGGATAAGAAAGTAGAGCGTACAGATGTTTTTTTGGAGAAGGTGTGTTTTAACAGGGGAAGGGAGATTGTTGTGTGATGTTGCAGATGTTCTGTGTATGTGGAATTTGAACATTACAGCTGCAGTCTAGCATTTTTCCCTATCCTAGCTTTTCAATATACCTAAGTTATATAAATGTTTCTAGTTCTCATTAATATTGTATATAATGATAGAACATGCACTTCTATATTTTAACTCTTTAGAACATTACAAAACTCTAGAATATAACAGTTAATAACCTGTTTTCTCACTTTTAAGAGTATTATTAACAGAATAATGAGACACAAAAGTACATTTCAACTTAAGTAAATAATTTTATTCAAAATCTCTTCCATGGCTTTGTCCCCAACATGCAAGTTTATAAACCTTGTGACATTCAACCCTAAATAATACTCGAAGAGAACTTCAAAAGTTATCTTCCACTAATCATATATAATTTCTACATTTATCATCTGATCAACCTGATCCATTAAAATTGTCAATGGAAAATACCTTGCCAAACAATGCAATACCTATTTAAGTTATTAATAAATAAACACTCATAAATTACCCAAAATACAAAAGACATGTTGGTGACGGTTAGACACCCAGGTAATATCAATAGTTTGTGCTTCTAAACCTGCCTTCCTCCTGCAAGTCTCTATTGTCACTCACAAAATGATGCTACCTGAAACATCTGGCCATTTCCAAAATCATATCCAGTTGTTTGAGTAACTATTTTGGGGGTATACGAAAGGCAGTTAAGAAAGATTCCAAATACTCCAATCTAGCTTGCAATGGCTTGCTGGGTCCATTTACAGAGTCTGGTTAGCACTGACATCTAATTATAATACATTTTCAAGCATGCTTGATGGAAATGATAATGGGTTGTCCAGTTTGGTGGCCATGCATGTATCCGTAATTGTAAATCAGCGATACTTTCAAATGAGATAAGAAATCTATGTACACAGTCTCTATTCACTCAGTTTGTCCTCAGACTTGAAGTGGCTGGTAGTTGTACCACTCCTACATTTCCTTGTAGGTGAACGAAGGTCCATGAGTCCATGTTGACTTCCAGGTGCGACAACACAGGCCTGAAATAGTTCACGTACCTCAGTAGCCTGACGTTTAGCCAGCGGTCACAGATTTCCACCTTTCGCGCACAGTTCTGCACTTCAAGGAGGTGCTTGTCAAGTAGGCTGTAACAACAAAATCAGTGTCAGATATAGTGATTAGTAAACAGTCTCTGCAATATACATGTGTATTTACACAAATAAGTATGTGCAATGTTATTATACATGTACATATAAGAATTATAAACTTTATACATAATAGACTAGTTCACATGTCATTACCGGTAAACTTATTATTACTTTTTTACTATCAGTATCATATTGATTTCTTAACAGTTTTAGTAGGATCCATACTTCTGTGGTGCAGGTACAATTTGTATGGAATAGGTAATTTTCAATGTTACATGCACCAGTTCAGGTATGCAAAAAATGTATTTCGAGCCCTGAGTGCATTCACTAGGCTATGTTTAGTTCCATAATTTACCAACATGGCTAGCAGACGACATGCCCCCCTCCCACCCTTACGAAGTTGTTTACATCATGTTTATCCCCACTCCGATAGAAAACTAATGCATGGAATAAAAGGTGACTACTGTGATTGAATCTCCTCTTTTTTTGTGGAAACCAAATTCAAATCAAGTTTGAGCCGAGATACATGTATTTATGTCAAAAGACGAGATGGCGAGGCCTCCCCATCCCTACTACTACTAGTATGAGTGCTTACGTACGGCCGGCTTTGTTTACATCATGTAAAGCGCCACGCCGATGGAAAACCACCACATGGAATAAAACGTGACTACTGTGGTGGGATCTCCATTTTATAGGCTTCCCCTTTGTGGAAACAAAATTAAAATTGGTCAAGTTTGAACCGAGATATGTCGAAACTCCGGCAAGAAGATGACGCGGGGCCCCTCCCCTATGTCGGACTCGACTTTACGTTCGGCTGGCGTTGGTAGCAGAACGCCGGCAGAGTTTCTCGTCCATTTTTGGACATTGCCCAGACTAACATGCCATCCAAATTGACAAGATTTGCTCCTTACCTCCTTCTTACCGAGATTGAGTCCGCAGTTTGCTGCTTTTTTGGTCATCATCGAACAAAAATC